AATAGTTGCACAATTTGAAAGGTAAAATTTGATCACAAATTCAATGCGAAGTGGAAAACATATAAATTTGATTGATTGATATTAAATTGTTGACGAAAAAAAATTGTTTTCTTGTATAAATAGAATTCGATAATTAATTTGATGATTAAACTTGAAAATTTGGAACAATTAGAAAAAAAGAAAAGAGAGAAACAATTCTGTTGTTGGTAAACATTAACAGCGATTTTATTTCAACTGTGAACCCAAAACATGAACATGAATCAACACACAGAAAGAGAAAAGGTCAATGTCCTCGATGAGAAGAGTACATTGAACTCAATTCTCAATTCAACCTGTTACCATAGTTACTCTTTCTTTTTCTCTTTCTTTCTCAATTCATTCTATCTCCTCTTTCTTTTCCATGTTCTCTTACTTTTCATCTCTTTCTTTTCTTCCCATTTAACCAAAAAATCTTTGGTTCAAGTTATCGTTTCTCTCTCTCTCCATCTTTTCCTCTTCTCTCAATTTGATGAACTTTCTCTGTCTATTTTACTTTCTTCTTTATTCTGTATATATTTGTCATCCTCATCTTCATCTCTCTCTCTCTCTCTCTCTCTCTCTCTCTCTCTCTTCATGATCATCATCATGTTTATCTACTGATTTCTTGTGATTGTCTTAATCTCTTTCATTATCTCCCTTAATCCAGGTAACCATTGACCTAGACTCTTTTTTATATTAATCTCATTTTCACTTACAGTTTTATAATTAGTTGATTGTTAACCTTCATGTTAATCATGGACTTTAATAACAATTAGTTGATTGAAGAGAGAAAGAAGCAAAAAAATAAACAAAGTGATTTAGAGACGATTGTGAATCAAGAAATTGATTGTGTGATTTAAGAAATTAACTGGTAATTGTCATCAGACTTATTAACCTAATTTCATGATATATTTTCCCCATAATCTTAATCTACAATTAAGATCAGCAGAATTGACTTAACGGATGATGAATTAACTGTATCATCAAAGTGTTAATGTGTTTATCTTATGATGATTTATAAGAAAAGTGTAAATATTATTGTTGATCAATTTAAATCAATGTTTTGCTTTCTAATTAATTTGATTAGCTGATTAATTGTGAAATATATTTAACATTGAACAGTAGAGGGAGAAAGTGCAAGTGAGAGAGAGACAATGTGACAATGAGAATGAGGATCAACATCATCCTCGTCATCCTCATCATCATCACATGCAAAATAACAATTCAAGTTGATCATTAATTTTCCAGTGACTTATTATTATCCACAATGAAGGCTGATTCCAATACGATTCAAGGACAATTATCGTTGAGGTTAATACGTTGATTTACTGTTATTTTACCTCTTTTATTTTATCTTCATCTTCATCTTCATCTCCCTCCTTCCATCATCATTTTCCCAAGGTTTTGATAACATCACCAATTGACTTGACGATGATTACAATACATTTACCTATTGATTTAATAATAATGACACTTGATACTCACTCTCTCTCTCTCTCTCTCTCTAACCTTAAAATTAATTGTTTACCTGTCACTTTATGTTATCATTACGTTTTAATTAGGCTCCCAATTATCATAAATAAGTTTCTGTTTGTTTGTTATTGTTTTTTTGCCTTTTCAATCAGTTAATTATCAACATTTAATTAGTTTATTAATACAATTCAATTGAAAAGTAAAAAAACGAGGTAATCATGTTAGTTAATTGTAAGTGATTAACAAAAGATATACTACCAGGTAATAAAATCAAAGATCAGCAATTTATTAGCCAAATAATTAACAAGAAAATCTTTCTATTAATCAATTTGCAAGTTGATCACCATAATCATAAACCTAATTAATGTCTTGACGATTAACATGATAATTTTCAGGGATAAATGTAAAAAAAATATCAATGAATCAATTTGAAATTGTCAAACATTAAACTGAATCTAATGAATGTAATGTAATGAATGAAAGAGGTAAAAGGTCAACCATATGATTATAACTTTCTCTGTGTCTATTTAGTGTTTCATATCATGATCATGATAATCTGTTTCTCTTCCTTGTCATCATCATAATCATCATTTTCTTGTTATATCCTTGAAAATTAATCGCATGAATCAAAGTGAAAATAACTGAAGGAGGAAGAAAGTGAGAGAAAGAAAGAGAGGAAGAGATGATGAGAAAGGGGTACAACCAGAGAAAAAGACAGAGAAGATAAATATAGAAAGACAAATTTGAAAAGAAGATAAAAAAATGATGAAGGTTAAATGAAATGAAGAAGAAAAAAATTCTGATTCTTTTTAACCATCAAGGTAAAAACCATGAAACTTGATGATTAAGGAAACGATTCAGATTCAATAGTTATTGATGATTATCGTTATTTAATCAAATCCTTTTAAATCTTAAAATCGTAATTATCAAAATGATTAGTTAAATTGTCCAACCATTTTAATTATAAATCAATGGTTATATTGGTTCATGTTTTTATTTACATAAACATGAGAAACTTTAATTCATCATTGAATATCAATATACCTCAAGGTTAACGGTAAATTATCAATAGTATTTATATAAATATATTGAGAACGAAAGAAAATTTAAAATTAGGTTAATGATGACGAAATATTTTCTCCACTAATTTAATAATTTAATAATAATTATTAATACTTTCGATTGTGATAGCAATTATAATGAACCACGTTCTGTGATTTTAACTGTCACAAGTTACAATTATAATAAATCAAAAATCGTAAGCACAAAAATCAACACGGTTGTTGACAGTTACAGGTAAGTCTTAATGTGTATAAATGCTCAGGTAACAAGAACAGGTTATCGAGGTGGAAAAGATTAGCAACAACAAATCGTAACCTTCAACGTGATTAGTTGATTATTTGTTGATTTTTTCGCTTACGAATAATCAAAATCACAACAGATATTCAGGTTTTCTGGTTTTCTGGTTCCTCAAATCTGGTTATCATCATCATGACAATCAATCAACAACAATCGGTAAATTGTTTCGCTGCCCTATTTATACATATTTATTAATATTTATAAAGGTAACGATTAATTGTGATGATTAACTTTGTTTAAAATCGACAAGCAAATCAAAGGAAAATTGTATTGAAACTTTGCTCGCAAACCCAATCAACCTGATCACACCTTTATCATCACCATCATCATCATCATCATGGTGTAATTATCGTCATCTTCCTAATCCATCATCATCATTGCACCACTTTCATAACAATTTATCCTTCAACTTTTACAAGTGACAATGATAACAATAAGTTATCATCTTATCATCATAACTGTTTTATCAAAATGACAATTGATGAGAGATGATGATAATTGTCATCGTCACTAAACACGTTTACACTTTCAACATTATCTCTCCACTAATTAACATCTTAATTGTTTGCTACTTTCATTTATGATTAACTTTTTACAACCTGATAACTGTTTTAAATCAATTTTCATTGCAATTGATCAACTGTTTAATTAATTTCCAAATTTGATTAATTTTTAACTGTCAATGATTATCAAGAATGACATCAATTGTAATAGTAAATAATATCATCATTTAGATTGATTAAAATTACAATTATCACTTTATTGTTTCAGGTTTTAATCAACTGATTGAAATTGACAAGTTTCACTTGTTTAGATTGATTTAGTCAACAAACAATTTAAATTAATTGAATTCCTTGGTGATGATGATTAAACAAACCAAATATATATATGAATGATATAATGAACAATTAATAATTATTGTTACTATTACAAATTTCAATTAAGTCAATTAATGATAATCATATTGTTTTTCATCAATTGTTACAGGAAACAGTTAACAATTTAAACGGAAATTGAATTTGTAATCAAAGTTGGAAAAAAGTTATAGCAATTAACACAAAATTCACAAAAGGTTAAAGTTAATTGACAGTTAAATGAGTTTACAATTAAAACAAATCAGTTAATCAACTTTTACCTTTTTGTTTTGATTCAATTTTGTGTCTACCTGAGTTGAAATAACGGTAAAATTTACAAACAATCAACACACAAAAACCAAGTGAACCTGAATTGTTACAACTGTCAAGGACGTTTACAGGTCAAGACTGACCGATAATCATATGATTTTATCATGAACAATTTAGTAATTATCATGAAATCGTTGATGAAGAGAGGGAGAGACTGAGAGACTGAGAGAGAAATAATTTATGATGAAAAAAAAGTGAAGGAAAGAAAGAAATTAATTGTCAAGGTTATCAAGATTGATTGTGAACCTACAATGTAAATGATAATGAAGGTTTTATATGTGTTGATTTTCAACTGATTCAAGTTAATTAGTTGGTGTTAATGTCAAACAATTAACATTAACAATTGATGAAGATTAAAGTTTATTAGGTATCTATGAATCAAGTGGGTGTGGGTGTAAAAGGTAGAGAGTGGGAGGTTTAAAGGTTAATCGGGTAACGATTTATGTGAATGGGAAAACGTAAATGAAAGTGAAAGCAAGATGATCATTTGTTTTTACAATCAAAATCAACAACTACAATTAGTTAATTTTAGGATTAACTGATTGACATTGACTCACCTTTGAGGATTATTGTAATGATGAATAGTTGTAGTAATTGTTTGGAAAGTCAAACTTAATGATAATTGTCAATGTAAAAACTACACACACACTTAGTAGTAGTAAATTGAAATCAATTTACTCGATGATTGTTAAATTGTTTTAATTGTTTATTATTCCGTTGATTTGATGTCACTAGAAAATGTCGTTTAATTTGATTTCCGTTTTTCTTTGAACAGTTAATATCGTAAACGTTTGATTGTTATTGTTTATTTTGTTTTGTTGATGTTACTTTGGGTTCGTAGTGAGCAGGTTTGTAGTGATGACGATTTTTGGGTTAAAGTGAGTGAGTAAGTGAGTGAGTGATAAAATGGAAGAGGAAGATAGACAGGGAATGAGAGAGAGAGAGAGATTGGGAAGAAAGAAAAAGAGAGAGAGAGAGGGTAAGGGGAGAAGTGGAAGATAGTGAGAGAGAGAAGGGGGTGTAAAAAGGGAAAAGTGTTTGAATGTAAGTAAAGGGAGAGAAAAATTCAGCAGGAGTTTCATGATGAGAGAGAGAGAGAGAAAAAAGTTCGTTTTGTTCAGAACAAGAACCAGGTCAGAATGTGGGTCAATCCAAGCAACCATCTTTTCCATCATCATGATGCTCATTCTCATCATCTCATCGTCAACAACAACAACAACAACAACATAACAGTAGTAAACTTAAGGTTCTACTGATGACAAGGAAAAGATGATGATGATTTTGATGAAGTGAGTTAGATGATACTAACGTAATTCATTTGAGTGAAAGATTTTGTTGAATGTTAATTGAGAGGAAAATGATTCAGTTTTTTTTTGTTCTAATCAAATTTAGGTGAATGAGTTTTGAGTCATGATGATATGAAAATTGAATTTAATTCATAAAATTATCTTTCCCGTTTCTCCATGTGAATATATTCATCACCATGATCACGATTGATGTTATTGATTTATCACTATTAACCCAGTGAACTTGTTTACCTTTTTTTTTAGTCTAATGTCTGAAGTTAATTATGTTAATCAACGTAGTTTTTGATCACTTTCATTGATTCTCTGTTCTAATTAATCATTTTAATTGATACAATATCAAAGTTAATCTAATAGTCTCTCAACTATGCTGGTGAAAAATTCATCATATGGTTACATAGGTTGACAATTTGTTCATGTGTTGATCTTTGCTTATCTGGGATAATCTTTTACTAATCTGGAATTGATATTAATTAATGAATGAACAAGCAATTCTTGTTGATTTACAATTGTATTTTAAGAAAATAATATTCGGCGACAATTAAGTTAATCAACTGGTTTACTTGTGTAAACATCACTAATTCCAAGTTAAATCGCCCTGGCTCAAGTCTTTTCATGTTCATCTTTGAGGTGACATTAACTCACTTTTCATGGGTGATCATGATGAAAGTAAATTTATCGATCCGTTTTTTGGGAAACCCGGAAGAGATTCTTACTCTATCTGTGGAAATCGTTGATTCAACTCTCTTCCTCTTCCTCCTCTCCCCTCATCTTCTGCCAACCTAATCAATAAGTCTCCATACACCCCACCCACTCTTCCCCATGTAACCATACAACCTCATCTTCCACTTTCTCTCTCTCCCTTCCTCTCATCATCCTGTGTCTATTTCTCTTTCTATTTGTACCTTTTCCTTTCCTTCATCTCAATGATATTTTCCACCATCGAGATACTAAAAAAGGAACCCAACAAACCGAATCAGAACTTGCATAGAGTTAATTTCATTTGAAATTCTGTTTTCGTACCAACAATTAATTTGATTGTCAGTCACAATTTAACAATCACAATTTGTCCTTTTATTACAATTACAACTCTTAATTCATTTCATTACCATTATCATGATAATAACTTAATGGTTAATAGCTTATTTTCAATGAGCTTTTATTGTTATCATAATATATGTTTACAATTGACCTAATTATTTTAATTCTTAATCAATTCTCATGTAAACTTGAAGGTTCCTGATTATTTTATGGTAACAATAATCAACTTTGATTGATCTTTATCAATATTTCACAATCTATAATCATTGTAAACATCATGATGATCATATTATTATCTTTATTGTTCAAATGGTCAATTTGATTTGATGGTCAGTTAGATTTACATATTGATTATCATGACAATTGAAAAACAAATTTATACTTAAGTAAAGTTTATGATCAGGAAGAGGAAAATCAATCCAATCACTCAAATTATCATTAAGATCAATAAACAATTAACATTAAACATCCGATGTTATCTTGATTTAAATCAATTCTAATTTCAGCTGATTAATCAATGTTTACAAATCATGAGCTCATTAATTGTAATCAAGTCGTTAATTTATTATTTAGATCAATCCTGAAGATATAAATTCAATCTATTATTTGATTGGTGTAACAATTTACTGATTTCAAGTTTATTTCCAATCTTATTGAAGGTCTTTCATCAAAAATATTATTAGTTCTCGATTAATTTAATCATGATAATAATCAACCATGATTAGATTACATATTTTCACCATAAGGTCAAGTTAATTGTTACAAACAATTAAAGTTACGATCAAACAACCAATGCTGCCATCTTTTATTTAGAAGTGGAAATCAACCGATCAAAGTGATTAATTAATTTCCAAACTTAGAATCTGGTTAATTAGTGTTAAGATCATACATTTACAATTAAGAAGATAAATTTGTCTATCACAATATTATATTCAAGGATAATAATAATCTTGTAACGATCTAAATCAAACAAAAAGTTAACTAACTTTGTTGATAATATCTAATGATTATCTTAATAATAAATCAACACAAATATTAAATTAAACATTTATTCAAAATTTATACAATTTCCAATATCGAAATTATCATCACAATGACAAATATTAACTTTTTGAAACATTAAATAATGAATCTAATTAAACAGCAAAAGTAAACAATCAAACTCAAATTATCAAGAGATTTAAATTATTGCTACATTTACAATTGATCCAATGAGTTAGTCAATTGTATCTCAGTTGATTAGTGGAAATTGTTGAATAAAAAGATACATTGAATTAGTTTATTAGTCTTCGAGATTAGTTGATGTGATGCCTTCGTCAAGCCAAAGTTCAAGGATTAAAAGGTCACTTCGAGTGACAAAATTCGGGTCAAGTGTCAATGAGCTGCTTCGTTCACAGACACTCCATTTACCACAGACAATTGGAGATTTAAAAACTAACATTGGTCAATATTGGTTTCCAATGTTAACACTTATCAATCTAATTGTAAACACAATTAAATTTTCCACATTGATTATGATTAATCCGACCAGTGATCTAATTTTAATCCTCGGTGATCCTTCACACTTTCTAGGTGAATCCCGTCTCTATTTGTTAACCTTAAATTTCATCTGGTGTGTGATTGCATGTATTCACGGAGTCCACTTTGTAGCACATACAATGTGTCCGGTCAGTTCAGCCCAGAAAACTTGGCTTTGTATCGGTGAAATCCTGGAAACCGGTCAATACAAGAAGTGGGGTCACTTTGACGATTTGGCCAAACAGTTTCGTCGATTGGTTAAAGCAAACACTTGGTTAATTACTTCAGCTTATTTTTTCTTCCTCAGTTTGTTACCCGTATTCAAAGCCCCCAGGCAGTTCATCTTTCCCATGAGCGTTAATCTATTTCTCAATACATGGTGTTGTTATTACATTATGACACTTTCGATAAATTTTGTCTTCATTTATGTCCTTTATGCTTATGTTTGGATTGAGTATCTCAAGTTTCTCACGGTGACAACTCTCACAATCAATGTCCATCCGAATGAAGGTGAACCCTTGACCATTGAGAACGACGATTTCATTCCCGGTAAAAGGATTCGATTCATTGTAACTCATTTTACTGAACATTTCAAGAATTTATATTCAGTGATCTTTTCCATGGTATTAAAAATTCACTCAATTTTCTGGTTACTTTTATCGCTTATATTATCATCGTATTTTTGATCTTTTTCACCTCGATACCTTCGTCAATCAAAGTGGCCATGATTTGCTGTGGGATTTCCGGTTCCTTTTTCGGTCATTATATTCAATTTCTCATCGGTATATACGGTCAATCTCAGGTATGATTCAATGAAATTGGAACGAAACAATCAGTGTCTTTTGCTTAACTCTAATTGTTGTTCTCATTTCTAACAGATAATTAAAACCTCAAATTGTATAAGGAAAATACTTTATACTAAATCATCAGTTGAATCAAAATTAATTGTCCTTCTTTTCATTGACCATTTAGTTGATAGAAACTTTTTTACAATCCTGGGCTCATTAAGATATACAACTAAAAACTTAATTCTGGTAACAATTATATTCTCAGAAAAATTTCAAACTATTCACTAATTAAGTTTAATTTTCTCACCGACAATTAGGTCATCATGGAGTCTAGTGTATTATTATTGTTATGTATTTCAAATGTTAACCGTTGCTGACCATTGGCCAGAATCATGAAGTACAAATGTGTCAACATTGGGTTTTTGTATGTACGATGAAAGTTAATGATCACCAATTTAAAGTTGACATTTAATTAGCCGAATTAGAACTTTCAATATAATGGATTGTGTCATTTTCAACCTTTATTATTAATTAGATGAGATGAAGTTCAATCAATCTGATTGTGTCAATCTATTACTATCAAACAATTAACGTTGATGTCAAAAAATTGTAACAGTAATTTAGATTGTGAAGAAAAGTTTTCCAATAAAATGATTATAAATATACAATAGTGTTGATAGTTTGATTGAGTAAATGAGGTTTGTGATTAATTTGTTGGTAAATTATATTAAAGTGATTGTTTGATGATCATTGATTTAGATTTTAGTTTAAATCGTTTGGATTAATTGAAGTTAAATTGTGAGTTGAAACTTTGTGAAGTAAATTTTGTACTCTTTTCAATATTGCATCGGGAATCGTTCGGGTGCTGAAACTTGAAACATTTTCTGATTCCTTTTTATGATCAGAATCTTTGCTAATTAGATTTGATTGTTTTTTCAATTCTTTGATTAGACTTTCATCTTTACATGTAGATGCAAGTTCACATTTAACTTTACCTTCATTACTACACATACACCGTTGACATGGTTTCAATGGGTTAATGGTCACTCTCTGGCCAGGTTTGTATTTTTCTCGTCCATATTTACAGGTGATCTCTTTAGGTGTAATCGAGGGTTCGGAAGTTTCGTCTGGTGTAGTTCGTGGTTGACGTCCAGTAATATCCTTGAAAACGGCATCTTTCCCTTCTAAGGCTTTAGAATTATATAAATTTGATAGTTCGATGAAATCGAAAAGTTTTACTTATCTAATATCAATACTTACGGCATTCTAATATTGGACAGCAAAGATCTTTAACTTTGATCTCTTTACATCCTTTTCGATCCAATGATTGTGGACAATTGATATTCCAACAGAGAATTGTTCCTTTGTAGCAGAAGCACCTTTCACACGGATCATCTGATCGAGTTAAATTAGAACCATGTTGATGAACAATTCCCTTGGAATAACAATTTTCAAAACTTCCACCAGATCGACCACTGATTGATTTTGATTGACTTTTTTTGGTGGTCGACAATTTACTCGATTCTAGTAAACAAGAACGTGAACAAGAAAAAGTTAAAAGATCACATAGAAAAATTGACACTGAACATTTAAGAATAGCCGTTAAACTTTACCTGGGAATGAATTAACCACCGAGATGAAAGTTACAAGAACCAAGACAATGTAAAAGTTTATTATCATGATGGTGGATTTAGATGAGACTGATGTAGAAACAGTGATGACGATGATACTAGTGCTAAAATTGGACGATGGGAAATGATGACATGAATGAATGAATGAATGAATGAGTGAGTGAGAGAGAGAAAGAGAGGTTAAGGTTGAAGGCTGAAGATAATATGAAAAGGAGAGACAATGAACTGTTAGCATGAGAAAGATTTGAAAGGATTTTTATTGAAATTTTCATAGCAGAAAAAAAGATGAAGATGAAGGATGAACAAAAAGATGACAAAAACGGAATGAGAGAGAGAAAGAGAGAAAAAGAGAGAGAGAGAGAGATAAATTAATCAGTGAACTATGTCCAGAAAGTTAACTGAAAACGTTTGACGTGATTAGTGATCTTAATTTAAGGTTGACAGTTGAATGGTTGACGATAATGATGATGATGGTGACAGACGGAATGATGGAAAATTATTAAGATGATTAAAAGTCATTAAAGATTGGCCATGATAATGATGATGATAATGAGGATGAGTAGGAAATATCCACCGGGATAAAAGTAGCGGAACATTGATTTCATGGAATTGATGATTTTATGTTAATCTTTTACCGTTATTGAGTTTCAAAGATTCAAATTTGAATCAAATCTGAAAGCTTTATAATTAAAGATTTTAGTTCTCTATTAACATTAAACTTTAATTGATTCGTTCCATTAATTAGACATTTTAATAGTTAACCAATTAGCACTTATATAATATTATTGAATAATTGTCTTAACTTTGAGATTGAAACTTTTTTCTTGATGACAATTAGACTCAATAGAGTTACAATTCAATAAAGATTGTTGGTTATGCTATCAAATAAAAAATTGTCAATGTTGGTGTTCAGGTAACTGTTTACCTATCTTATAATGAGAAGTTTCGTCTTGCTTGTGGTGAGAACGTGGTAATCTTATTCCAAAAGCTTCTGTTACATTGACCTGAAATTTTCTATTTACGTTTGGATTCTGTTTAACTGTAATTTTGTTATAGTGGTCATGAAGCTGTTCGATATTTGAGTTATTGAATTTCAAGGAGTCAATTGTTACAATCAGTGGTAAATTGGTGGCTGAGAAATTATTTCAAGTCAGTCGTTTTATTCATCAATGAGATCTGAAGGCAACTGAATTTTTGTAGAAACAATGTTTCATGAAATCGAATCCGTAGACAATTTGTTCATGAGTATTCACCAATTTAGGCCATTCAGTGGGTTCATTTTTGCAGTTGTGATAAATTACAATTGATCGATTCTCTTTGATACAATATTTGGACAGAAAATCAGCTGATTTGTGGTTCACATTCTTATATTTCCGTAAGTCCAATATCTTCAACTCAGGTAATAATTTTACCAATTCTTCTAATTTACTGTCTTTAATTACACCGATACCTCTGATCCTAAGATGATGTAAATTAGGAAATTTGGAAAGTAGTCTTTGTAGTGTTGCCCACGAAAAACAATTAGACTGAATAGAAAGAAAAAGTTAATACAATATAATAATCTGGTAAGATTTTTCAACTACTGACTTACATGACATTCGATAACCAAATCTCTTAGATTGTAATTCTTTACCGATTCATCTACATAAATATCCTCTGCCCAACAACGGAAGAAAGCGCTTTCCAGTGATGGACAAAAATCCATAAAATGAAATCCAGTGAATTGGTCAAAAAAATTGGTTGTACCTACTTCCAGAATCTTTAACGAAGATAAATTCGGTCCATTGTAAAAAACGCCGTCCGCTACATAAGACCCTAAAAGATATTAATCATATGAAATTATCGGCAGATTATCGCAAGTTGAATCTTACCTTTATTGAGTTCTATGTTAAGTCGCTTCAAATTTGGAAAATATTCAATGAATGAAGGAAGATCATTCGGATGCAAATAAAAGCAGCGAACTTGTTTCAACTGATCAGGTCGAAAACTTTTTATAATCGAAATTAAATTTGCAGCGCACATCTCGATATTTTCCAAGTAACCATCTTTACGTAATTTATCCATACCGATTAATCCTTTGATTTGTGGATTGTTTTTGACGATTTCTGGTAAATTGTAAGATTTATAAGGAAGCAAGGACGCGGTCTTTATAATCTAAAACAATAATTCAAATTGAAAAACAATTAGAAAGCAACATAATTTTGGTTTTGAAAATTCATTAATTACCTTAATATTCGGGAACGATTCGATTAAATTGTAATCATTCCAATTCGTAACATGATTGATCCACAAACTATTCGCATCAATATAATCAACTTCATCTTCAATTGCAAAAATTGGAAACAAGTATTAAAAAAATAATGAACAAATCAATGAGAAATTAACTTACAACTATGTATCAATTGAAGATATTTTACTCGATTTAATTTAGGCGTAATTAAATTGGACCATCTCGAACAAACTTTAGAATCAAGTGAAATTATTAATAAATAAACATTAGAATTTCATCGTCTAAACGGAATCTCAATCTTACCTTTAGACCATCGAATCAAATCTATGACCCCATTGGCATTTTCGAAGATCTTCCAAAGACAATTATCAGGTAAATCGTTAAATGACATTATTGATTTGTAAACTTAAAGAAATGACGATAACTTATCTGATGAGTCTTATCATTAAAATTGAATAACATTAATGATTAATTTAATCAGCAAAATTGGTTTCCCTCGTAAAGAACAGCTGATTAATTGTTAAGACAAAGCGCTTTTTTCGGATGAATAGAAATCGAATATCGGATCTTAATTAGATTAGAGCAGAATCTTTTTATCAATTGATTTACCCTCATTAAAAGTATCTCGAAATATTAACATGGTGAGTTATCGCAATGACCAATCCGTAAAATTGGATCAAAAATGAACTTTCATCTTTCATCTTTCACCTCGAAACATGATAGATGCTCAATCGTGTTTTAATTTCTTGACTCGCTTTGGAAACTCGTTATTTCAATTGTTATTATGTTGGATTAATTAACTTTCAGCTTAATTAGAAATTTATTTATCTTCATCAAGCAAATCCGTAAGTAATTTTAGGTTTTATAAAAATAATGTTTCATGAAATCGAATCAGTAGACAATTAATTACTGAATAGTGTCCAGTTTAGACCATTCATTTGGTTCCTTTCACAAATTTTCTTCTAATCCATTGAAATGGTCCAAAATCATATAAAGACACTCGTTTGGTAGATTATTAATTTTAATAATTCACTTGAAATCAATTTATTCTAAAGGTGGGAAGAGTTTCGATTCCTGTAAAGTTCAAGACTCATTCGAAAAGATGATGTTTGAATGATCTTCTATTACGATGGTGAGACTGACACTCATTGTATTCTACAAGTATTATTGAACCTTAGATGATATTATCCAAAAGAATTATTTATCTTAAGAATGAATTAGAAAGAAGAAGAAAAAATGTTAACATGTTTCCTTCATGAATCTATTGAATTTCATGGTAACGATACTTTCACTTTCTTTTTCCCCTCATCATTTTTGGTGACGTTTCTATGTGTCAAATGCTTTTGTTATCGCCAAACAATAATAGTAACTATATCAGTTCGTAAGAAATGAAATAAAGAAAATAATTATAATACAATGTACTACGATGAATTTAATTGCTGAGCAGATATTTAATAAACATATAATGAATAATCAGCCTCGTGATTTATTTGGACTTTTTTGTTCATTCAAGTCAGTCGATCTTTATTCATCAATGAGAACTGGAAGAGAATTGAAAGTTTTATAAAAACAATGTTTCATAAAATCGAATCCGTAGACAATTTGTTCATGAGTATTCACCAATTTAGGCCATTCTGATGGTTCACAATTGTAATAAATTACAATTGATCGATTCTTTGATACAATATTTGGACAGAAAATCAGCTGATTTGTGGTTCACATTCTTACATTTCCGTAAGTCCAATATCTTCAACTCAGGTAATAATTTTACCAATTCTTCTAAATTACTGTATTTAATTTTACGAATACCTCTGATCCCAAGATGATGTAAATTAGGAAATTTGGAAAGTACTTTGTAGTAATGACCACGAAAGCCCAGTCTGAATCGAAAGAAAAGAAAAGATCAACAATAATCTTAAAAACATTTATCACTCGATGATTGACGTACATTCTCGATGACCAGATCTCTTAGATTGTTATTCTTTATCGATTCATCTACATAAATATACTGTGTCCAACAGTGGAAGAAAGCGCTTTCCAAAGAGGGACAAAACCCCATTAAATGAAATCCAGTGAATTGTTCAAAAAAATTGTTTGTACCAAGTTCAAGAATCTTTAACGAAGACAAATTCGGTCCATTGTAAAACACCCCGTCCGATACAATTGACTCTAAACAGATATTAATCACATTAAACAATCGGTTAACAAGATTAAAAGAAGTTGAATCTCACCTTCACGGGGTTCGATGTTAAGTCGTTTCAAATTTGGAAAATATTCAATGAATGAAGGAAGATCATTCGTGTGAAAACGGAAGCAGCAAACTTGTTTCAACTGATCAGGTCGAAAAACTTTTTTATAATCGAAATTAAATTCTGAAGCGAACATTTCGATATTTTCCAAGTAACCATCTTTACGTAATTTATCCATACCGATCAATCCCTTGATTTGTGGATTATTTTTGACAATTTCTGGTAAATTAAAAGATGCATGATAATCAAAGGCCACAGTATCTATAATCTAACGTCGGATTAAAAAACAATTAGAAAGCAACATAATTTTGATTTAATAAAATTCGTTAATTACCTTAAGATTTGGAAACAATTTGAATAAATTGTAATCATTCCAATTCGTATACTCATTCATCCACAAACTGTTCGCATCAATATAATCAACTTTATCTTCGACAACAAAAATTGGAAACAAGTATTAATAAAATAATGAACAGATCAATGAGAAATTAACTTACTACTATTAACGTCCACCATTTGAAGATATTTTACTCGATTGAATCTCAACGTAATTAAATCGGACCATCTTGAACAAACTTAACAATCAAGGAAAAGTAAAGAAGTTTTAAAATTTAACTATCTTAATGGAATCTTACCTTTAGACAATCGAATCAATTCTTTGGCCTCATGGACATTTCCAAAGATCTTCCAAAGACAAATATCAGGTAAATCGTTAAATGACATAATTATAATTGTATAATTTCACTAATTAATACAGTTGTGATCTCACTTAGAGCAAATTTCAGTGCCTCTATATAACCAAAAGGTTAAATTTTATAAAAAAGGTGAACTAACCTTTACCTTTCCGCCTAATGACACTAACCTGATAGGAGGAGACTGAATTCGTTGTTGCTCTAGTGAAACACTTTAATTAAAATTGTAGAAATGTTGAGGTAGTAATTTGAAAGGAGTGAAGTCACCGAAAACAACTGATTAATTACTAAGAACAAGCGCTTTTTTTGGATAAGACAAAATGAGTGTTTTTCACCGTTTTTCGATCGTCTCTTTCGACGTTTTTATGTGTCATATGCTTTTGTTTCATCAAAAAATAATAAGAAATGAAATAATTACAGAAAATAATTATAATACAATTAAATGTGATTTGATACCTTTAATTATGAGATGTAAAAGTAAAAATACAACAAATGGAATACAGGGTGTTTATCAAGATTACACTGAATATCTCAGAACTAAAGTCATATGAATTGAGACTTGATCAGAGGACTAAACAAAATTGCGCTCTACGATTTTCAAGGTCATTGAGGTCATTTAACGAAGGTAGCATTTAAAGGTCATTTAAGGTCGTCGTGAAAGAACAAATCAAATCACACCTCAGATTTTATTTTGAACTGTCTGTGATGAACGGATTGGAAGATAGTATGTTTCAATCTGAAAACACTTCAAAAAGTTTATAAGAAAGGCTGTATCTCAGCTGCCTTTGACGGAATATCATCAAACCTTAGGTTTGAGTGTAACTTTGTGCTCTTTCACGACGACCTTAAAATGACCTTTAATGACTTCGTTAAATGACCAATGACCTTAAAATCGTATCGAGCGAATTGTTTAGCCTCTGGTCAAGTCTCATCATATGACTTTGTCTGGAGATATCAGTGTAGCCAGTGGATAAAATGTATTACTGTAGTAAATAATCAACATCATGATTTGTTGGCATTTCGGTCAGTCGATTGTTGAAGTGACTGAGTCATCAGCTTGAGCCGATATAGTATGAATATTAAGTATTAACAAAAACTTATCCGTTGTTCTTGTTTCACTTGGTTTGATCGGCTGAAAAGTTCTCGCAAGATTTCAAGGATTGTGAGATTTTCATTCATCAATCAGATACGGAAGGGAGAAAAAATTCTTATAAAAACAATGTTTCATGAAATCAAATCCATAGCAAGTTCGTTTATAGTATTTACCAATTTAGGCCATCGGTGGGTTTCGTTTTCACAATCGTAATATATTACAATTGATCGATTCTTTTTGGCACAATATTTGGACAGAAAATCAGCCGATTTATGCGTCACTTTCTTACATCCTCTCAAGTCCAATATCTTCAACTTAGGTATTAATTGTATCAATTCTTCTAAATCAAAATGGCTAACATCAAGCTTATCAAACTTTCTGATTGCTAAATGTTGTAAATTAGGAAATTTAGACACCAGTTTTTTAAGAGGTAGCCACAGAAAACAACCAAAGCGAATCTAAAGAAAAAAAATTAATGATAATCTTATAAACATTTAAAAAGAAATCAAATAAAATTTTATAAACATTTATAACTCAATGATTTAGCTTACATTCTCGATAACCAGATCTCTTAGATTGTAATTCTTTATCGATTCTTTTACATAAATATCCTCTGCCCAGTAACCGATGAAAGCACTTTCCAAAGATGGACAAAAATCTATGAAATGAAATCCGGTGAATTTTCCAACCATATCGATTCTACCAAATTCAAGAATCTTTAACGCGGACAAATTCGGGCCATTGTAAAAAACTTGGTCCTCTAAAATAAAAAACGTAAGAAGATATTAATCATAAGAAACAATCGAAAGATTAATTGAAGTTGTATCCTACTTCTATAGAATTGCATGTGGAGTCGCTTCAAGTTTGGAAAATATTCAATGAATGAAGGAAGATCAATCTTATTTATAAAGCTGCCGAAAACTTGTTTCAACTGATCAGGTCGAAAAACTTTTTTATAATCGAAATTAAATTCTGAAGCGAACATTTCGATATTTGACAAGTCATAATCTTCTCTTTTTATTAATGAATTAAAATATCCAATCAATCCCTTTATTTGTGGATTGTTTTTGACAATTTCTGGTAAATTTAAAGATGAATTGTAACTATAGGTCGCAGTATCTATAATCTAAAGTCAAATTAAAAAACAATCAGAAAACAACATAATTTTGATTTGCAAAAATTCATTAATTACCTTAAAGTTCGGAAAAAATTGTAATAAATTGTAATAACTCCAATTCGTATTGCGATTAATCCACAAACTGTTCGTATCAATATAATCAGCTTTAACTTCTCCTAAAAAAATTGGAAACAAGTATTAATAAAATAATGAATCGATCAATGAGGAATTAACTTACTACTATAAATCTCCATCTTTTGAAGATATTTCACACGCCTAAATCTCAACGTAATTAAATCGGACCATCTCGAACAAACTTTAGAATCAAGGAAAAGTAAAGAAGTTTTAAAATTTAATCATCTAAACGGAATTTTAATCTTACCTTTAGACAATCGAATCAAATCTTCGGCTTCATTGACATTTTTGAAGATCTTCCAAAGACAAATATCAGGTAAATCGTTTAGTGACATAATTTAAAATCACAATTCACGTATAATTGATCTGTAAACTTGAAGAAATGACGAAATTTTATCATTGAAATTGAACAACATTAATGATTAATCAGCAAAATTTCAAATTTTAAATTAGTTTCCCTAGAAAGAACAGCTGATTAATTATTGAGACAAAGCGCTTTTTTCGAATGAACAGAAATCGAATATTGGATCTAATTAGAGCAGAGCAGAATCTTCATGACCAATTGATTTACCTTCATGAAGAATATACAGTGTTTCCCGATTGAAGAAACCAAGTTTTCATTTGAAGAAACCCCAATGGTTTTACTCGTATACCAATCGAAATCAATGATACGAGACTTCGGACCTTCATTTTTTGATTAATTTTAGAGCGAAAATCGATTTAGAAATGAAGTTTCATATTCAAAATCATCATACATGTGATTTAAATTTAATTTAGACTTAGGATTACTTAATCATAATTAAAAGTCGTTTTGGTTTCTTCAATCGGGAAACACTTTAAGTTGCTCGAATTAACCAAAAATAATTAACGAAAGCGATCTATTCGTCCATAAGACGATAAAAAATTAACTTTCAACTTTCACCTCGAAACATGATAGATGCACAATCGTATATTTTATTAATCAACTCAATATCAATTGGTAAGAAAAAGAATGCAGAAAATATTGTGATATGATTAACCAATTTATTTTAATTACCATATGGATACTTAACAAAACTTATACAGTAGTGATCTCACTTAGAGCAAATATCAGCGCCTTCTACATAACCAAAAAGGTTAATTTATTATAAAAAAGGTGAGCTAACCTTTTACCTTTTCTAAGCATAATGACACTAACCCGATAGGGGGAGACTATGAATTCGTTGTTGCTCTTAGTGAAATCACTACTGTAGTGAAAAATCAACCTTGTGATTTAGTTAACATTTTTATTCATCAATGAGATCTGGAAGACAGTCGTAGTTTTTGTAGAAACAATGTTTCATGAAATCGAATTCATAGCAAATGGGCTCGAGAGTAAACACCAATTTAGGCCATTCGGTGGGTTCATTTGTGCGACTGTGATAAAGTTCAATTGGTCGATTCTCTTTGACACAATATTTGTACAGAAAATCATCCGATTTGAATGTATTAGATACCCGTAAGTCCAATAACTTCAACTTTGGTAATAATTTTATCAATTCATCTAAATGAAATTTACTAACAACAAGCTCAGCAATATATCTGATTGCTAGATTTTGCAAATTAGGAAATTTAGACACCAGTTTTTTAAGTAGTGGCCATGAAAAACTATCGAACTGAAACTAAAGAAAACAATTAATGATACAATGTAATCTTATAAACTCGATGATTGACTTACATTAACGATATTCAAATCTCTTAGATTGTAATTCTTTATCGATTCATCTACATAAACATCCTTTGCCCAACAATAGATAGAAGCGCTTTCCAAAGAGGGACAAAAATCCATGAAATGAAATCCGGTGAATTTTCCAACCAAATCACCTGTAATGAATTCAAGAATCTTTAAACAAGACAAATTCGGTCCATTGTAAAAAACACCGTCCGGTACATTAGACTTCCACCATTTCCCTGACCCTAAAAGATATTAATCATATGAAATAATCGGAAGATTAATTGAAGTTGAATCTCACCTTTATAGAGTCGCAAGTTGAGTCGCTTCAAATTTGGAAAATATTCAATGAACGAAGGAAGATCTTTCATATGAAAATCGTAGCAGCTAACTTGTTTCAACTGATCAGGTCGAAAAACTTTTTTATAATCGAAATTAAATTCTGCAGCGCACATTTCGATATTTTCCAAGTAACCATCTTTATGTAAGTGATCCATACCGATTAATCCCTTTATTTGTGGATTATTTTTGACAATTTCTGGTAAATTGTAAGATTCATAAGGACGCAAGGACGCAGTGTTTATAATCTAACATCAAATTAAAAAACGATTAGAAAGCAACACAATTTTGATTCAAAACAATTCATTAATTACCTTAATATTCGGAAACAATTCGAATAAATTATAATCATTCCAATTCGTATTAGGATTAATCCACAAACTGTTCGCATTTATATAATCAACTTCATCTTCGATTGCAAAAATTGGAAACAAGTATTATTAATAATAAAATAATGAACCGATCAATGAGAAATTAACTTACCATACATAATCATATACGTATCCTCGGGCATGAACAAACTGTACCTACCATAATCAACTTTAACTTTTCCTAAAAAAGTTGAATAAAAGTATTACAGTCAACTGCCAGATAATGAGACTCTCTCTGAAAATAGCTTAAAATCACTATTAACACAGAAAATTTAATTTCTATTAATTAATTACTGAAACACTTAATGCTTTTTGATTTTCCTATCAATTTACCCCTTTGAATGACTACTAATTTTAATCATTTTTAATTAAGAAAATTTCGATCAAATTTCTTAAAAATGATTAATTAACAAAAGTAAACAATTAAAAACACAGCTCGGTTGTCTTGGTTACAATAGAAACGTTATTTTAAGAGAGTCTCATTATCTGGCAGTTGACTGTAATAAAATAATAAACAAATCAATACGAAATTAACTTACTACCAGACATCATTTGAAGATATTTTACTTGATTAAATCTCAGCGTAATTAAATCGGACCATCTCGAACAAACTTTAGAATCAAGGAAAAGTAAAGAAGTTTTAAATTTCATCATCCAAGCTTAATCTTAATCTTACCTTTGGACAATTGGATCAACTCTTCGAATCCATTGAAATAATCCAAAATCATATAGAGACACTCGTTGGGTAGTTTGTTAATTGACATAATTCACTTGAAAATTTCAATTTAAAGAGATGAACAAAAATTTTAAATTTAATCGGTTCCTTCTAAAAATCAGCTGATAGTTCCTTTGCTCTATGCCTCCGTTGACAGGAAAGGGTAACTTCAATGGCGCTCATCTTGATTGTGATTATTGTTGATTTTAAAGATTTCAGTTGAAGATTGGTTGAGGAATATTCCGAATTGAGAATATAAATCTGTTTGATATTAATAATTTCGAGTTATTATCTTTGTTAGTTAATGTAGAAAGAATGAATAGAAGTGGACATCGAAGCTCGATGCGCTCTCATATGAAAACCGGTCATCTCTTAATTATCGATTCGTGATCTTTGGTTTCCTTGACATGAGAGCGGACGAAAAATGAAATATTTAACATAAGTGATATCAAACTTCGACAATTATTGAAGTTTAATTCAGTTTTTATTCGTTAATTAGAACTGGAAGACAGTTGGCAGATTCGTAAAAACAATGCTGCATGAAATCAAATTCATAACAAATTGATTCGATCATCGAATTAATATCTATCAATTTAGGTCATTTCGTTGATTATTTCATCTTCTCTACTCTTTAATCTTCCGTTAGAAAACTTTAGAAGAAACTACCAATTCGCGCCACTTTGGTTCGTTAGAATAATTTACAATTCTAATCCATCAGAGGGACGCATAAACTTCTCTCAAAACGATAAATTATTCCAATTCGAAATGTTCAGCTTATCAGAGCCAGTTCAGGATTTTTGTCTTACTTTTCCTTAAACTTGAAACATTTTCCCTGTTCTACTCTCTCGCTCTCTTGTCTTCATCTTCATCCTCCTCCTACTTTTTCATCTTCTTTCTCATACAATTGAAACTCTCAATTTTTCAATTTCAATTGTTATTATGTTGGATTAATTAACTTTCAGCTTAATTAGAAATTTATTTATCTTCATCGAGCAAATCTGGGAGTAATTTCAGGTTTTATAAAAACAATGTTTCATGAAATCGAAATCGTAGTTAATTAATTACTGAATAGTGTCCAATTTAGACCATTCATTTGGTTCCTTTCACAAATTTTCTTCTAATCCATTAAAATCATATAAAGACACTCGTTTGGTAGATTATTAATTTATATTATAATATAATTCACTTGAAATCAATTTATTCTAAAGGTGGGAAGAGTTTCGATTCCTGTAAAGTTGAAGACTCATTCGAAAAGATTATGTTTAAATGATCTTCTATTACGATGGTGACACTGACACTCATTGTATTCTATTATCATTAATATCCAACAAGAATTATTTATCTTAAGAATGAATTGAAAAGAAGAAAAATGTTAAAATTTTTCCTCCATGAATCTATTGAATTTCATGGTAGCATTATTTTCACTTCCTTTTCCCCCTCATCATTTTTAGTGACGTTGTGTTTCAAATGCTCAAATGCGCCAAACAATAATAGTAACTCTATCAGTTCGTATGATGAAATAGAGAAAATAATTTGAGTAATTTGAGATGATTTTAATTGCCAAGTAGACATACATGTAAATATGTATAATGTATGTAAAAAAGTAAAAAATACAACTCAAGTGGGAATATTACATTGTAGTAAATAATCAACATCATGATTTGGTTGACATTTTGATTGATTAAAGTCAGTCGATTGTTGAAGTGACTGAGTTATCAGCTTGAGTCGATATAGTATGAATACTAATTATTAACGAAAATTTATCCATTTTTCTTGTTTCACTTGGTCTCATCGGCTGAAAAGTTCTCGCAAGATTTCAAGGATTGTGAGATTTTCATTCATCAATCAGATACGGAAGGGAGGAAAAATTCTTATAAAAACAATGCTTCATGAAATCGAATCCGTAAGCAATTGGTTCTCTGGGTATTCCTAATTTAGGCCATTCAGTTGGTTCCTCTTCACAATCATAATAGATTTCAATGGATCGACGAGATTTGAGACAGAATTCGTTCAAATAATCAGCTGATTGTGAAGTTACTCCTTTTGATCTTCTCAAGTCCAACAATTTTATTTCTGGTAAAATTTTCACCAATTCTTTCACATGACTATCGTCAATCTGTTTACTGTTTCTAATTGAAAGATGATGTAAATTCGGGAATTTGGACAAAACTCTTCGCATTAATGGCCAGGTAAAAAAAAGAGCCTTTGGATAGAAATAATTAGAGAAAAATTATTAATCAAATGCAAATTTTTCACTCAGTCACTTACATGATCGATAACCAAATCTCTTAGATTGAAATTCTTCATCGATTCGTCTACATAAAGATCACTTCCATTATAATAGAAGAATAAACTTTCTAGAAATGGACAAGAATCAATAAGATGAAACCCAAACGAGTCAGGAAACTTTAGTTCGAGTATCTTCAAACCAACCAAATTTGCACCATCGTAATTTGTTTGTGTGTCTTTACAAAAAAAAAAGAAATTAGAACATTTCAAACATTAATTCGATGTGAACGTACCATTACGAAGTGTCAAGCTGATTCGCTTCAAATTCGGAAAGTATTCGATAATTTGAGAAAGTCTTGACAAGCGTATTCGTCTAAAGCGAATCTGTTTCAACTGATCAGGTCGAAAGATTCTTTTAAATTGGAACTGGAAATCCGACGAAACCAATTCGATATTTTCCAAGTTAAATCTTTTCCCAAACGGCTCATAAAGTCCAATCAATCCTTTTATTTTTGAACTATTGTTGATCATTTTTGTCAAATTATAAGATCGAAGACTAAGACAGGCAAAAGGCGAAACCTCAATAATCTAACATTAAATTAAAAGACAATTAGTAACATCATTTTAATCTAAAAAATTCATTGATTACCTTTAGATTTGGAAAAAAATTCATCAAATTGTAACTACTTATGGTCGTAAATAAAGTTAATCCACAAACGGCCTTATCAGATCAGATATTTTGAGCGATTATATAGGGAGAGAATTGATTGAAGAGAATTAATTTATGATTGATTTGGAACCTTACAAATGAATCAATAATAACACAATTTTGTGTACCACTCTACTAAAAGAACAGCTGAAAAACTGCTAAGAAGCGCTTTTTTTTTTAAAGTTTCATGGCGAGTTTACTTTAAATAAATATTATGTAATTTAATAGATTTAATGAGTATTATGAATGTCGCATTTGACTAAAGGACTAATTAGAACGACTTTCTGATCGTCTGAAGCGAATCTGTTTCAATCTAATAGATTTATTTTATGTTCCCAAATAATAAAAAGAAACTTCATCAATTGGTGAGAAATGAAACAAGAAAATATTTATATTAATGTTGTGATGTGATTTATTTTAAATACAATGCAGATATTTAACAAGACTTATAGTGAATAATCAACATTGTAATTTAGTTAACATTTTGATACATTCAAGTCAGTTGATTTTTATTCATCAATGAGATTTGGAAGGTAACTGAATTGTTTGTAGAAACAATGTTTCATGAAATCGAATCCATAGCAAATTGGTTCGTAAGTATCCACCAATTTAGGCCATTCGGTAGGTTCGTTTTCACAATTGTAATAAATTACAATTGATCGATTCTCTTTGACACAATATTTGGAAAGAAAAGTTTTCAGCTTTTTATACACCTTCTACTAAATACTCAAGTCCAATATCTTCAACTCAGGTAATAAATTTATCAATTCTCTTAAACTGCTCATCAAACTAAAAAATGTCTGATTGCTAGATGATGTAAATTAGGAAATTTAGACAACAGTTTTTAAATAGTGGCCACGGATAACTACGAGAAGGAATCTGAAAGAAAAGAAGTAAAATAAAATCTTATAAACATTCATCGCTAGATGATTGACTACACTACCGACAACCAAATCTCTTAGATTGTAATTCTTTATCGATTCATTTACATAAAGATCCTTTGCCCAACAAGTGAAGAAAACGCTTTCCAAAGATGGACAAAAATCCATGAAATGAAATCCGGTGAATTGTTCAACAAACTGGCCTACAACAAATTCAAGAATCTTTAACGAAGACAAATTCGGTCCATTGTAAAAAACGCCATTCGCTATTATAAATCGTAAAAAGATATTAATATTTATCATATGTAACAATCGTAAGATTATTTCAAGTTCAATCTCACCTTTATCGGGTTTTATGTGGAGTCGCTTTAAATTCGGAAAATATTCAATAAATGAAGGAACATCATTCATATCAAGAAAGTCGCAGTAAACTTGTTTCAACTGATCAGGTCGAAAAACTTTTTTATAATCGAAATCAAAAACAGCAGCGAACATTTCGATATTTGCAAAGTCATAACTGTTTTCGAAGTCATCCCAAATTACTAATCCCTTTATTTGTGGATTATTTTGACAATTTCGTGAATTGTAAGATGAACTTCCCAATAAAAGCATCTATAATCTAACATCGAATTAAAAAAATAGAAAGCAACATAATTTTGATTTGATAAAATTCATTAATTACCTTAAGATTTGGAAACAATTGGAATAAATTGTAATCATCCAATTCGTAGACTCATTCATCCACAAACTGTCGCATCAATATAATCAACTTTCTTTTGTAAAAAATTGGAAACAAGTATTAATAAAATAATGAAACGATTAATGAGAAATTAACTTACAACCATATTTATTTTTGTAATATATATCATTTGAAGATATTTCACTGATTAAATCTCGGCGTAATTAAATCGGACCATCTCGAACAAACTTTAGAATCAAGGGAAAGTAAATAAGCATTAGAGTTTCATTATCTAAACGGAATCTTAATCTTACCTTTAGACAATCGAATCAATTCTTTGGCCTCATGGACATTTTCAAAGATCTTCCAAAGACAAATATCAGGTAAATCGTTTAATGACATGGTTATAATTCAATTAGGATTGATTTAAAATCAATGATTTTAATTTATTGAAATTCACTACATTTAATGTAGTACATTAATGATTAATCAGCAAAATTAGTTTCCCTCGTGAAGAACAGCTGATTAACTATTGAGATAAAGCGCTTTTTTCGAATGGATAGAAATCGAATATTGGATCTAATTAGATTAGAGCAGAATCTTTATAACCAATAGATTTAGCTTCATGAAGAATATGATAAATAGAAATATAATATTTCAAATATTAACATGATGAGTTTTCGCAATAATCAATTCGTACAGAAAATATTGAGATTAAAAATGAACTTCGTCTTTCACCTCGAAACATGATGCTCAATCGTATATTTTATTAATCAACTATAATTGTCTAGAGTTTTAACCATCAATTTGTATGCAATTCGAATGATTATTTTGTTGATTGTCTTTGAAACTTGTTATTACAATTTTGTTTTTCTGATAAATTCGACATCAATTTAATTAGGAATTTTATTTGTCTTCATCAATCAAATCTGGAAGTGAATTCCAAGTTTTATAGAAACAATTTTTCATGAAATCGAATCCAGACAATTAATTCGTGAGTAGTGTCCAATTTAGGCCATTCAAGTGGTTCCTTCTCACAATCATAAAAGATTTTAACCGATCGATTGGATTTTCACAGAATTGAGATAGAAAATGAGCTGGTCTTTGGGTCGCTTACATTTCCTCAAGTCGATCAGTTTTAATTCTGGTAATAGTTTAACCATTAGTTCTACATGACTATCATCAACTTGCCTCTGATTCCAAGATGATGTAAATTCAATTTTGTAGATTTTCCAAAAGTTCCAAGGTAAACTCATGTATAAGGCTTGAGGTAGAAAGAATCAAAACGAGAAAGTGAATCAAATGAATTTTTCATTGTCACTTATATGTTCGATAACCAAATCTCTTAGATTGAAATTTTTTATTGAATCGTCAATAATATTAGACTGAAAGTAACCAGAATATATGAATGCGCTTTCTAAACACGGACAGGAATCCATAATACGAAATCCAGTGCCAAGATTACCAGGTGGAAATTCAAGGATCTTTAAAGTGGACAAATTTGGACCATCATATTTTTTTATGTCTATTTAAAACATGAAAGAATTAGAACATTTAAAAATTAAGTTGGTGTTAACATACCGTGATAGAAGGAATTTATGAAGTCGTTTCAAATTCAAGTACTCGATACATTGAGAAAATTCAGATAAGAGCAATATTCCTTTGAAGCAAATTTGTTTCAACTGAGCAGGTCGAAAGACTTTTTTGAATTCGAATTTGAAATCTGATGAAATCATTTCGATATTTTCCAAGTTATACTTGTTCTCAACAGGTTCATAAAGTCCAATCAATCCTTTAATTTTTGGATGTTCGTTTATCAACCTTCTAAAAGTATATGATTCAAGAGAAACAAAAAAATGCAACGGAACTTCCACAATCTATATAAAAAATGAATCGATAGAATTAGAAACTATTTTTCTGGTGGAAAAACGCAATTTATCAATTACCTTCAGATTCGGAAATAAATCATTTAAATTGTGACTTTTCAAAGTTTCTGTAGTGTTTTTCCAAAGTTTGTTATGCTCAATGTAGTCCTGAGCTCTTTTGTATCCTGAAATTAGAAACAATCAAATTAAGAGTCAGTCAGAATCAAGAATCAATCAGGTGGGAGTTTACTTACTATCCATCAATTGAAGATATTTAACTTTGCTTAACTTCAGTGAAACGACCAGGAACCATTTTGGAGAGACTAGAAAATCAAGAGAAATTAAATTTAGGAAATTTAAAATTTAAACTTAATCTCGAATCTTACCTTTGGACAATCGGATCAACTCTTCGAATCCATTGAAATGGTCCAAAATCATATAGAGACACTCGTTTGGTAGTTTGTTAATTGACATAATTCACATGAAATCAATAATTGATAATCAATTTAAAGGGTAAAGTCTATTCATACGCCAGATGGAATCGATATTATCAGATGTTTGTATCCGATTCTATCGATTCCTAACTAATTTAATTTAATTTTTATTAATTGTAACTAAGTTTTAATTAACTTAATTAGGGTACAATTAAAAATAAATTTAATTTATCTGACCTACACAGTTAGATTAAACTAGAGAAAAAAGAAAAAATTAAATGAAATTTTGGAGAATCGAAATGAAAAGAAAAATTTTATATACAAGATTCGAACTCGCAAAATTATATCAACAAACCCTTCGTTTTACCTCTGAGCTAATATTTTCAACTTATTAATTTTCATCCAATGTTAGAATATAAATCTAATTATTTACGTACGAATAGTTTTTTTAGTCTAATCGTACGCGGATTACGTACGAATAGTCTCTTCCAATTTAAAGAGACAAGCAAAATTTTAAATTTAATTGTTTCCCTCTAAAAACCAGCTGATAGTTTCTTGTGCTTTATGCCTCCGTTGACAGGAAAGGGTAACTTTAATGGCGCTCATCTTGATTGTGATTAATGTTGATTTTTAAAGATTTTAATGGAAGATGAGGAATATTCAAAATTGAGAATATAAATCTGTAGAATATAAATAATTTCGAGTTATTATCTTTGTTAGTTAATGTAAAAAGAATTAATAGAAGTGGGAAAAAATGAACCATAATTAGTCAGTTGATATAAATCATAATCAAGTCTAAATCTATGTTCTAATTGTCATTATAATTGGTTGTGTTTTCATTCATACACATTAAAACAGTATTAAGATACCAATTAGAACCTTTAAGCAATCAGCATACAAAAAGGATAATTGTCATTATCAATTGTATTTAATTATTGGTTGGATGATTGACTTACATTAACGATATTCAAATCTCTTAGATTGTAATTCTTTATCGATTCATCATAAACATCATTTGCCTAACAATCGATGAAAGCGCTTTCCAAAGAGGGACAAAAATCCATGAAAGGAAATCCGTCGAATTTTCTAACTAAATTGGTTGTACTAAGTTCAAGAATCTTTAACGAAGACGAATTCGGACCATTGTAAAAAACTTTGTTCGCTATAATAAAAATCGTAAAAAGATATTAATCATATGAAACAATCGGAAGATTAATTCGAGTTGTATCTCACCATTATAGAGTCTCAAGTGAAGTCGCTTCAAATTTGGAAAATATCCAATGAACGAGGGAAGATCTTTCATTACAAAAAATCGGCTGGAAACTTGTTTCAACTGATCAGGTCGAAAAACAATTTTAACATTGAAATAAAACTCTGAAGCGAGTATTTCGATATTTGACAAGTCATAAATGCTTCCGAGGAGATCCAAAAATCCAATAAATCCCTTAATTTGTGGATTATTTTTGACAATTTCACTTAAATTACGGGATGAATCATAATCAAAGACAGTAGAATCTATACATTTATTGCGACAAAGCGCTTTTTTCGAATGGATAGAAATCGAATATTGGATCTAATTAGATTAGAGCAGAATCTTTATAACCAATAGATTTACCTTCAAGCAGAATATAAGTTGCTCGCATTAACCGAAGCTCGAATTAAGCAAAGCGATCTATTCGTCCATAAAAATTGGGATTAAAAATGAACTTTCGTCTTTCACCTCGAAACATGATGGATGCTCAATCGTATACAGTCACACCTCTCTAATTTCACCCCCACCGGACCCAAAAAACTTGTGAAATTTGGGAAATTGTGACTTTATGGAAATCTATTAATTCTTAATTATGAAGGTGAAAATCAATTTTTTTTGCATTTACTTATTGGAATCTTATTTACAACACCGAATTGATCCTTAACCCTCTTCATTATATCTTGTTGAGTAACTTTTTTTTCTTCTGTAATAATAATCTTTGGATCTCTCAAAAAATGATGCAATTTACTGGTTGATTCCATAATTTAAGCCAAATTAGCTCATTTTCATTGGACAAAACACATTACTATGGTGAATCTCACAATTGCCCTGAAATAGTGTGATTGTGAGATTGAGACATATTATGACTATATTCTCTATCTCCTTAATCGGAAAATTAAATTGTGAAATTAAAGAATTTGTGACATAATAGAGGGGGCGATTAGAGAGGTGTGACTGTATTTTATTGATCAACTATAACTGTCTAGAGTTTTAACCATCAATTTACATGTAATTCTAATGATTATTTTGTTGATAGTGATTAGAATCTTGTTATTTGTCTTTACGATTGATAATTTATCATTTTCAATTGTGCTTTAATTATTGTTTGGATTTTGCCATTTACAATGTTGGATATTAAATTGTGTTAATCAATCAACAATTTTTGTGTTATTTTAATTGTGATTAAATTTGATAAATTCAAAACCAATAATGATCACAATTATCGTTACCTTAACATTACCTGGATTTAATTAAATTCATAGTGAATAATCAACCTTATGATATTTGGATTTGCGATTGATTCAAATCAATCGTTTTATTCATCAACGAGATCTGGAAGAAACTTGTATTTTTTGTAGAAACAATGTTTCATGAAATCAAATCCATAGCAAATTCGTTTGCGAGTATTTACCAACCTCACGGACATTTTCTAAGATCTTACTAAGACAGTTATCAGGTAAATCGTTAAATGACATAATTAAAAATCACAATTCACTTATAATTGATTTGGAAACTTCAAGAAATGTCGGTAGCTTATCATTAATTTCCCTCTAAAAGAACAGCTGAAAAGAAGGGCTTTTTTTAAAAGTTCCCATGTCGAGTTTACTTTAAATAATTACAATGTAATTTGATAGATTTAATGAGTATTAGTCTTATGAATGTAGCATTTGACTAAAGGACTAAGCACAACGACTTGCTGATCGTCTGAAGCGAATCTGTTTCAATCTCGATTTATTTTATTTATGTTACCAAATAATAAAAAGAAACTTCATCAATTGGTGAGAAATGAAACAAGAAAATATTTATATTAATGTTGTGATATGATTTATTTTAAATACGATGCAGATATCCAACAAGACTTGTAGTGAATAATCAACATTGTGATTTAGTTAACATTTTAAACCATTCAAGTCAGTTGATTTTTATTCATCAATGAGATCTGGAAGACATCTGAATTTTTTGTAGAAACAATGTTTCATGAAATCTAATCCATAGCAAATTGGTTCGCGAGTATTTACCAATTTAGGCCATTCGGTAGGTTCGTTTTCACAATCGTAATATATTACAATTGATCGATTCTCTTTGACACAATATTTGGACAGAAAATCAACTGATTTTTGCGGCACTTTCTTAAATCTTCTCAAGTCCAATATCTTCAACTCAGGTAATAAATTTATCAATTCTCTTAAATTTCTATCATCGAGCTTATCAAAATGTCTCACCGCTAGATGATGTAAATTAGGAAATTTAGACAAGAGTTTTTTAAGTCGTGGCAGCGAAAAACAACCGCGGCGCATCTAAAGAAAAAGTTAATACAATATAATAGTCTAGTAAAATTTTTCAACCACTGACTTACATGACATTCGATAACCAAATCTCTTAGCTTGTAATTCTTTACCGATTCATCTACATAAACATCCTCTGCCCAACAACGAAAGAAAGCACTTTCCAAAGATGGACAAAAATCCATCAAATGAAATCCAGTGAATTGTTCAAAAAAATTGGTTGTACTTAGTTCAAGAATCTTTAACGAAGACAAAGTCGGTCCATTGTAAAAAACGCCGTTCACTAATATAAATTGTAAAAAGATACTAATCATATTGAACAATTAGAAGATTAATTAAAATTGAATCTCACCATTAATGAGTTCTAAGTTGAGTCGCTTCAAATTCGGAAAATATTCAATGAATGAAGGAAGATCATCCATGTTAAATTGTAAGCAAAGAACTTGTTTTAACTGATCAGGTCGAAAAACTTTTTTATAATCGAAATTAAATTCTGAAGCGCACATTTCGATATTTGTACCGTCACAACGGTTTCCGATGTAATCAAAAAGTACGATTAACCCTCTTATTTTTGGATTATTTTTGACAATTTTTGCCAAATTGGGAGATGCACTTCTTGATAAGGCCTCAGTATCTATAATCTAACGTCAAATTAAAAAACAATTAGAAAACACAATTTGGATTTTAAAAATTTATCAATTACTTTAAGATTCGGAAACAATGCGAATAAATTGTAATCATTCCAATTCGTATGATGATTGATCCACAAACTGTTCGCATCAATATAATCAACTTTACCTTCGACTAAAAAAAATTGGAAACAAGTATTAAAAAATAATGAACAGATTAATGAGGAATTAACTTACTACTATTAACGTCCATCATTTGAAGATATTTTACTCGATTAAATCTCAACGTAATTAAATCGGCCCATCTCGAACAAACTATAGGACCAAGGAAAAGTAAAGAAGTTTTAAAATTTCATCATCTAAAAGGAATCTCAATCTTACCTTTAGACAATTGAATCAAATCTTTGGCCCCATTGACATTTTCGAAGATCTTCCAAATACAATTATCAGGTAAATCGTTCAATGACATGATTGAAAATCACAATTCACTTATAATTGATTTGTAAACTTCTTTCTCAGAAAAACTTTCTCTCGTGAAGAACAGCTGATATCAGCTATATATTGTAGTTTTAAACTACAGTAGTGTTCACACTTAGAGTTTTTATTATTGTTTTTGCCCTATAGGCGATTAGAGAGGCTTATAAGGCGCCTCTCTTGAACCTTTACAATTTTTGTTACATTTTCATTATTTTTGAGGGTTTACAGTTTTTCAGATGGGTACCCAAGCCAGGATTGAACCTGTGTCATCGTGGACTAGAATCCACGACACTAACCTCTCGGCCAGAAACTTAGAGCAACTATGTTTTCACAGCCCCCCCTAGCGGATTAATGAGATTAGTATTGAATTAGCGTACGAGGTTAGTTCACTAAGAGATTAACCCTTTTAGTTATGTTTCTTGCTCTAAGTGTGAACACTACTGTACTGTAATATTACAGTAGTTTAAAACTACACACCCTTTAGTTTCTGAGACAAAGCGCTTTTTTCGGATGAATAGAAATTGAATATCGGATCTTATTCGAATTTGTATTTTTTCTGATAAATTGGCCATCAATTTAGTTAGCAATTTTATTTGTCTTCATCAATCAAATCTGGAAGTGAGTTCCAAGTTTTATAGAAACAATGTTTCATGAAATCGAATCCGTAGACAATTAATTCGGGAGGAGTATCCAATTTAGGCCATTCAGTTGGTTCCTTTTCACAATCATAAAAGATTTTAATCGATCGATTGGATTTTTCACAAAATTTGGAAATGAAATGAGCTGATTTTTGGGTCACTTTCTTACATTTTCTCAAGTCGATCAGTTTTAATTCTGGTAATAGTTTAACCATTACTTCTACATGACTATCGTCAACTTCGTAGCCTCTGATTCCAAGATGATGTAAATTCGGGAATTTTGTGCAGATTATCCGTAAAAGTTCCAAGGTAAACTCACATGTATAAGGCTTGAGGTGGAAAGAATCAAAACGAAAAAGTGAATCAAATGAGAATTTTTCATTGTCACTTACATGTTCGATAACCAAATCTCTTAGATTGAAATTTTTTATTGTATCGTCAATGTAATTAGCCTGAAAGTATTAAAGCCATAGTAATAGTAATAAAGCCAAGATTACCAGGTGGAATTTCAAGGATTTTTAAAATGGACAAATTTGGACCTCGAATTCAAATTTGAAATCTGATGAAATCATTTCGATATTTTCCAAGTTATATCTGTTCTCAACAGGTTCATCAAGTCCAATCAATCCTTTGATTTTTGGATGTTCGTTTATCAACCTTCTAAAAGTATACGATTCAAGAGAAACAAAAAAATGCAACGGAACTTCCACAATCTATATAAAAAAATGCAATCGATAGAAACTAAGTATTTTTCTGGTGGAAAAACGCAATTTATCAATTACCTTCAGATTCGGAAACAAATCACTTAAATTGTGACTTTTCAAAGTTTCTGTAGTGTTTTTCCAAAGTTTGTTATGCTCAATGTAGTCCTGAGCTCTTTTGTATCCTGAAATTAGAAACAATCAAATTAAGAGTCAATCAGAATCAATAATCAATCAGGTGGAGTTTACTTACTATCCATCAATTGAAGATATTTAACTTTGCTTAACTTCAGCGAAATGACCAGGAACCATCTTGGAGAGACTGAAAAATCAATAGAAATTGAATTTCAGAAATTTAAAATTTAAACTTAATCTCGATGTTACCTTTGGATAATCGGATCAAATCTTCGAATCCATCGCAATGTTCCAATATCATATACAGTCAGACCTGTCATATTTAGTTTTTCAGACCCTAACGGTCGTCTTCATGACTAAGCGCCCTCTTGTGGTGCCTTCGAACGGTCATGGTTGTAGACCGTATAGAGTAAATATAAACATATTATATATGTAATTTTTTTATTGTTTCCGTTGCTATTAATTAATTTTTTTTCTTTTCTTTTCGTTCTTTGTATATTCATAAACAATAATTTTCATTTGTTAATGTTCAGTTATAAATGTTCAGTTATTAATGTACACGTGCATGGAAAAGGATAGAGTCCGAAACTAAAATCCAGTAGATGGCAGGATTTTGTTCAAATATGAAAGTGTTCAAATATGACAGGTCTGACTGTAGAGACACTCGTTTGGTAGTTTGTTAATTGACATAATTCACTTGAGATCAATTAATAGAAAATTTAAATAGAATAAGTTCAAGTTAAAATCTCGATCAATTGGACAATCGGATCAACTGTTCGAAATCAATTAAATTGGGTCATTTTCCTAAAAATCCTAGAATCGTAAGCCGAAAATAAGGCAACTGAAAGCAGAAAAATTGAGGTTAATGACATATCTTGAGCCCTACCAATGAACCGATCAATGAGAAATTAACTTACTACTATCAATATCCATCAAATGAAGATATTTTACTCGATTAAATCTCGGCCTAATTAAATCGGACAAACTTAAGAATCAAGGGAAAGTAAATAAGTTTTAAAATTTCACCATCTAAACGGAATTTTAATCTTACCTTTAGACAATCGAAGCAAATCTTTGGCCTCATGAACATTTTCGAAGATTTTCCAAAGACAATTATCAGGTAAATCAATGTCATAATTATGATTTCACTAATAAATAACTCAAAAACCTTAAGAAATGTTAAAGCACTAATTACGTTAAAGCACAGAAAAGTTGAGCTTACGGACTCATCTTGAGCTTTACTTATTTACCTTCATGAAGAATATAAGTTGCTCGAAATATTCACATGATGAGTTTTCGCAATGATCAATTCGTACAGAAAATTGGACACAAACTGAACTTTCTTCTTTCACCTCGAAACATGACAGACAATCATTAAAGTTTGTCTCAGTTTTATTCATCAATGAGAACTGGAAGACAGTTGGCAGATTCGTAAAAACAATGTTTCATGAAATCGAATTCATAGCAAATTGATTCGCTCATCGAATTAAAATTCATGTATTTAGGTCATTTCGTTGATCATTTCATCTTCTCTACTCTTTAATCTTTCGTTAGAAAACTTTAGAAGAAACTACCAATTCGCGCCACTTTGGTTCGTTAGAATAAGTTACAATTCTAATCCATCAGAGGGAAGCATAAACTTCTCTCAAAACGATAAATTATTCCAATTCGAAATGTTCAGCTTATCAGAACCAGTTCAGGATTTTTGTCTTACTTTTCCTTATACTTGAAACATTTCCCCTGTTCTACTCTCTCGCTCTCTCGTCTTCATCTTCATCCTCCTCCTACTTTTTCATCATCTTCTTTCTCATACAATTGAAACTCTCAATTTTATCCAGATGAAATTCTGCTTCAACTCTCTATTCATCCTCTTTCTTTCCTTTCAACTTGTTCTGGAAAAGCTTCAATGATAACCAAAAGTGTATCATAAACATTAGAAATCAAAAACAACAACAAACCTTTTTTTCACCGGATTCAATGTTCACCTGAATTCGGTAATTCATCAATCAGTTGATGGTCGATAGTAAAAATCAACTATAATTAATCAGTTGATATAAATCATCATCAAGTCTAAATCTATGTTCTAATTGTAATTACAATTGGTTGTGTTTTCATTCATATACATTAACAAACTTAATTCAGTTTCCTTGTTTACCAAAGTGTAAAGGACAATCAAAGGACAATTTTCACCTGACATCTTGACCATTAAGTCTTGACCAAAATAATTGTTTACCATCATTGACCTTCCTACTTGGTAACATCGATTCAAAGTTAATTGTTGTAATTAAATCTCAATCATTAGGATACCAATTAAAATCTTTAAACAATCAACATACAAAAAGGATAATTATCATTATCAATTGTGCTTTAATAATTGTTTGGATTTTGCCATTTACAAAGTTGGATATTAAATTGTGTTAATCATGTTAATCACTCAACAATTTTTGTGTCATTTTAATTGTGATTAAATCTGATCAATTTAAAACCAATAATGATTACAATTATCGTTACCTTAACATTACCTGGATTTAATTAAATTTTCTTGTCTTTGTGTGTGTTTACAATTACAACACTTTAATTAAGTGTTTCAATCAACAACAACCTAAAAAATTAGACAATTTAAATCATCAAATTTAAATCTTATCAATTTAATTGCAATAATCAAAAATTGTCATCATTGCAAAAGATTCAACAATTTAAACCTCTCAATTAATTCAAGGTAAGTTAAAGTTAATTTATCAACCTTAACTGTGAAAACCTGCAACAATCAATTAAATATTTAGCTAATTGATTAGCCCAATCAGTTGAAATCAAGTTAATTGTAAATGAAAAGGTTATAATTAAAATTAAGTTTTTTGTTTCCAATTTAAGTTAATTGAAATATTACTTTTCTCGTTCAATGTTATATTTGTTATGATGGAAAACAATTTAATCTCAACAAACGATCATTCAAATTGAATGTTAATCATCGCAATTAAATTAAGGATCTTTACTTGATTATTTCGTCATTATTTTAATCATCATTAGAAATTAATGTTTTCGAAAAAAAAAAGTTAACTTATTTTCTTCCAATTTTTTTTACTTGTTCTTTTTCTGTTCTCAATTTTCGCATCTTCATCATCGCTACCATCTTTCATCATGATGATGCGATCATCATCATCATCATCATGCATCCGAATTCAGAATCAGAATTATTTGTATACATTTGACATCACAACTTTTTCTTTTTTTTGCTCTCCATCTTTAAAACCTTCTTTACTTGTCCCACAAACCCAAAGGAAGAAAAGATGAAGATGAAGATAAATATGATGATGAGAGAGAGAAAGAAAAAGATGTTAACGCCTTAGCAAAGAAAGAAAAAAAGACAAGACGAAAAGTATGATAATATTAATGATCGTCGAAGATGATTACAAGAAGCGATTAAACTGGCGAACGTGTTTTCATGTTTTCGGGAAATCGTTTCATGTGTCCACCTGAGTAGTGTTACTGTTATGATTTAGAATTTGATTTGAATGAATTCACCTGAGCTCACCTTGATGTAGTGTCCATCATCATCATCATCATCTTTATCTCTCTCTTTTATCAGAAGCATAATCATCATGAACGAATCATAAATCACCTTCCTCCCAATTAACCATCATCATGATGAAACTTTTTTCTTACTTCTAAATTTAAACTCACCTCAATTATCAATTTCTTCAATTGATTCAATGTCCATTTGTTTAATCGTATCAACAGTTGAATATCTAGATACACATTTTACCGTTAGTTTTGGTTGAATATCGGGTAGCATAATTTTGGAATCGTTTTTGTTTTTATTAGATTAATTATCATTGATTATTCCAAGAGAATCTCAACTTTCCTCTGATCACTTCCTCTTCCTACTGATAAAAGATTTCCCATAATTCACCTAATGTGTTCAATGATAATTAAGGTAAACAATTGATAGTCAAAGATGATCCCAAAGCAGATTTATATTATTATTATTATGATAATCTCTTGATATTAATGATGATGATGATCACCAATAATCAATTCAAGTCTTAGATAAATTACCTTTGTTATCCTGGAAATGAAATTCTTACTTCCTGTTTCTTTTTTTCACCTCGATTCTCATATGAGTTTTTCACCCAACATATTAATATGAAGTGATAATGTTATCCAACAGTTTATTTTCATAATCCATTTTATATTTATCATGAAATAAAAAGTAAACAGAATAAAAAATGAATCAAAATAATGTTCCGATTCTGAAAAGTTGAGAGAGAGCAAAATAAGATTGAGAAAACAAGAGAAATAATAAAAAGACCCAAATGATTACATGCATATAAATGTCTTGAGGGTGTTGATGATGATGATGAAGATGATAAGATAATAAATATTGTTGTGAGAAAAAAACTGAAATGATGAAGAAAAAACGGAAATTGAGTAATTCTGAGTTTCAGAATCATCTTGATGGAATCAACTACTTTACATGTTCAACTGTCAAACTGTCATATTTTTCTGACCTCATCTTTAAAGTTTCGCATCATCATGTATACAATAATCATTCAGAAGATTTCAAACGAATCGAATTCTTATTTTTTCTTCTCAACCTTTCGAACTTTTTTTTTCTCTTCCTCATCTCTCAAGTTTGATCGTGAATAATATGATATATCCACAGGAGAGACTCAGAATTTGGTTTCCATTTTATCTTTCAGATCAAATTACCAAGGGAATTATCTTCATGTTTACGAATTATTATCCTCGAATCGAAACTCTGTTTTTCTTGATTCGCATTCTGTTTCGCTAATCATGATTCAGAATTTTATGATCTAATATTATCCAATTTGTTATCTTTTCATTGAACTTTTACTTCTTGCTCATTGATGTATGATAATAATAATAATATCAAGTTGAATGTCTTATGTCACCAGGTAACCAATTAACCTGTCATCATGATAATCATCATGCTACTTAACTAACTGTTATTAATCAATAAACTTTATCATTCACAATTAAATTGATGAATGAATAAGGTAACAATTGGTGAGTCAATATTATCATAATGAGGATACTATTAATAGTTATCAATTGTATTTTATTATTAATATATATATTTTAATGGTCATCATTATGATTAAAGTTAATTGTAAATGATGATGTTGATGATAATGATGATGAAAAAAATTTAGCTCATTG